TCATTAACTTCAGAACAATTCCTAATAACTTTGTTAATGAATGTAGGCCACAAAATAAATTTTCCTGTACGGACTCTGAAAATCAAGTTTATCTATAGAAGAAAATGGGAACAAAAGTGAAAAAACTTCACTTCCATAAAGTAAGCTATTTCATTGCAATAGAAAGTTTTTATATTTTATAGTTAACTGAGAGAGCAGGTATACTGCTCCACACAAAAATTTAAGTATCACCAGTTTTCTTAAACTAAGTCTAAACTTAAAACTAGTTATTCCTCACTGTATTTGCCTTTAATCATTTACTATATAGTTATTACAAGCAACCTAAGTGCACTGATAAGCTGTACAGCTGGGCATATTTTTTAAATTGACAGCAATAAAAATTCCTTTTTTCTTACATTGAGCCATATGAACTTGTACATTATTACTTTTGATGCACTTTCCTCTTAAATAAGCTTTAGAGAAAACAGTTTCTATATTAGCATATTTAGGTAGTCCAATCATGGTTTCCAGACAAGAAATACAATGTAGTAGACACAAAATAAGGTAAAATAAAAAATTGTGAAACAAATTTTCTTAAAACCATACAATTAATTTCCATAATCACTTACCTTAAAATATATAGGTGACATTAAGTCACTATACTCTCTATAATTTAAAGATAACCTATAAAAATCAGTATTGGAAAGAATGAAAATTAAGCAATAAAAATATAGCAGAAGCCTAAATTTTCTATGTACTATAAAGACAATCATCAATATTTCAGCCTCACATTCAGCTTATTTTCCAGGCTAATATTAAGAATAAACTCCAATTGACATGCATAGAATTCAGTTTTGCCCATTACTTTTAAACTATATTATCATCTTAAACTTTCCTCTGAGAAATCACTTCATTAAACACTTCTTTAGCAAATAAAAATATTCCATTCACTATTTCCATAAAGGAATTTAACTCCTGACTACCCTAGCTGGTAAGTTAGCCTTATAACCTCCCTGAGATAGTCTTCAATGATAGTCTTCAATTTTAATCTTCCCCATAAGAAACAGCACACTAAAGTGAAACCAAGCAAGACAAAGTGCTTTGGCATATCAAAATCACTGGGAACATAACTATCAAAAGGGACAAGGATTTCACTAGTTTTTTCCCTATACACTTTCTTTCATACCAACATTTAATTCACTAAAACCACAACTCTAGAAATTAAACATTATTAGTCATTTCATGCAATATTTGATACTGCTTTATATATATATATATATAATAACTAAAAGCACACTTTTAGAAAGTTTGAATTCATAAATTTCATACGCAGAAGCCTACATACTGTAAAATCAAAGAAATTCCCAATCACTTCACTGCACCACATGTAAGGATCTGGAACAAAAAAAAATTTTTTGAAGTCTTAACAACCCTGACAATATTATTTGATCAAGAGGGAAAAGCAAAAATAGCGCAAACATACCCTAAGAAGCTAAAAGAATCCTGTCAAGACAGCAGTCCAACAATTTCTTTGAATGAGGGTGTTTAAAAAGTTAAATAGAAATCTAACTAATTCATTCTTATGTATCCAGATGACTTTTAATCAGTGCAGTTCACACCAAGAGTAGACTGCTTTGAAGTAAGTCACAAATCAGAATTTTTTTCCAACTATCTTTTGGCGATCAAATTCACCCTTCAGTAAAATATTTTAATTAACATAGATTCCAAAGTCTCCTTTAAAGTATTATTTTGAATTTAAAGGGCAAAAAAAAACCCCACAGGTTTTATGAGGCTACCTCTTCATTCCCAAATAAAAACCTGGGCAAAATTAGCTGTGCATGTTTATTGTAGCTACTAAAATAAAATCTGTCCCAAAATAAAACATTTTCTTTAAAAAAAAAAAAAGTACTCTCCACAATAGGACATAGGCAGGCCACATAGACACATTTAGTGTTATTCCACCTTTGCACAAAGTGTTTACTAATATTTACTAGGAAATAACTTTCATTAGGAATACTCTATTAGCTGGATGTGGTGGCACAGGCCTATATGCAATGGTAGGTAGGATCCCAGATCTGGGGAGACAGAGGCAGGAGTTAAGGAGAGTTCCAGGCCAGCCAGGTCTACACCTGAGACCGGCTCAAAAATAAAAATAAAAAGTCAAAAATAATACCTAATTAACATTGTGAAGTTACATAATTGTAACAAAATACTGTTCATTGGTACGAGTCTCATACAAATTTTTGATCTTCAGTGAGAAGCCCTGATAGAACTTAAGTGCTCCAGTCACTTCAGACCAATAATATAATTGCTTTCACACACCTTACATCCACATAGCTCTCCATTCCTGTTAATACTTTTCATTCAGAAAAAGGGAGGGCTCTATTTCCACCCCGGACCAAAAGCACGTTGTTAATACCTCAAACTGTGAAGATTTATGTTTTAAGATAACCCGCTAACTTTTGAAACACAAAGGCCTAACTTTTAAACAATCAAAACTACACACTGTTAAAATTCTTAGGCTTCTGTCTTATTCAACAAGCTGACTTGGTAAGTTTAATACATGATATGCAAAAAGGTAGCAAACCTACGATCTGTTGACAGCATTTCTGGATATTAGTAAATTATATATGACATCCTATACATCATAGAAAAACTAAAGGGTGTCCAATGAAACCTGAAACCTAAAAAAAGAAAAAAAGGCAATTCTGGGTCGCACTAATAGTGAAATTTCACGTGAAAGCGGGCCAACATTTGCTATGCACAATACCCTTGAATCTACACATTATCACCTCGCATCAAAAACAACTCAATCTCTGTTCTATCACCTCTGACAAGGCCACTGAACATAAAATGCTACTAAAATGCAAATTTCCTGCCCTATGCCTCAACAGATCAGGAGAGCAAAGCCCCATTTAGCAAAGTTTAAATAAGAGCTCCGAATAAAGAATATTATGGCCCTGCTGATTTCAAGCTACAAAACTTCTAAATGAGCTCCAAGTTGTTGCAATTAACTCCCCCAACCTACTTTTGCCTACAGGAAGCACAAACGCCGAAAAATTATTGTACTACTTCTACAGTTATGCAAATTAGCCCACAAGTCACATTTTAAAAGTACCTATCAATGCAACCCAGGGACCTAAAAACAATCACTGCAAGATTCTGATGCAATGTGAGTACGTGCAACATTAATTTTCATCTCAAACCCCATCTGTACCTGTGATCTTGGGCCTAAATCACAATTTAATCGAAATATGCTCAACTTCAAAGCGCCTACTTTTTTTCCCCTCCTCATTAAGCAGACAGAATTACGAGGTTCCCTAATCCACTAGCCGTGTACTGTATTCTGTATTAGCGGACAATAGCCCTTCAAAAGAGACCACTAATAGGTAAGACTCACAATCGAGTCGGGGCCTTGACACTTGCAACCAGGCAAGAGTTCCATCTAGCAGAAAACCATTGGATGTGTTCTGTCTAGGTTGAACACACAGAAAAGGGGCACAAATTATCTGCTCTAGACCTGGGGCCAGGGTTAAACGTTATAGTCATCCCCAACTACGGGGGGGGGGGGGAAAGCATTTTTTTTTCGCATCCGACTACTCCCACGTTAGAAGAGTGACAGAAAGAGCAAAGAGGATCAGCCAGCCAGCAGAAATGGATACAGGTCAAGTCTAAGTCGAATCCATCCTCTTGATATCTCCTTTTGTTTCTGCTAACGATCTCTTTGATGATGGCTGTCATGTCTGGGAGCCTGTGGCTGAAGAAAAAGGAGGAGAGAGATGGCAGAAGCTGCTGGTGGCGGGGCTTCTTCTGCAGGATGGAAATGGCTCTGGACTTGGCGGTCGCTGATGCCCCTCGCTCGGCTGCCGCTTGGCTCTGGACCGCAGCCGGGTAATGGCTGCTGCGGCGGCGGCTGCTGCTGCTGCTGCTGCCGCTGCTGCTGCTGCTGCCGCTGCTGCTGCTGCTCGAGGATGGTTGCAGCGACGAGGCCTGCTTCTCCTCAGCAGCCAGAGGCCTGGCAGCGGCGGCGGCGGAATGAGCAGAAGACGAATAATCCTCGGAACGGCTGCCTCCACCGGCGGCCTCCGGAGCCCGGGCCAGGGGGAGTGCGGCGGCGGCGGAGGGGAGGTTTAACACCGGCCCGGGTCCCGGGATGCGCCGCCGCCGCCGCCGCCGTGTTGGAGGCAGGAGAAGGGGAGAGACCAACTCTCCGGCGTCCCCAGCCCTGGAAATGGTGACGGGCGGCTCGGACCCCCTCCCCGGAGCCGGAGCTGCAGCCGCCGCGGCCGCCGCCGCCGCCGCCGCTTCTCCCCCCCG